TACTCCTGCATCTCCTTTACCACCTCCCTCCCCCAAAGAACAACATAAGTGCAGAATTCATAAAGCCATAGGAGAATTTCAAAGTTCACCTATAGAGGCACTTGAAACAAAGCCAGAGCCATATCTCAGAATATCTGCTGGCCCCATACAGGTCATAAAAAGGCAGGATTAGTCCAGTGAAACTTGATCACATGAACATAGCCCATAAGCATGAATCCCTTTTTATGGTAGTATATTATCTTTGACCTTGATTTTCCCCTATCTGTGCTTGCAAAAAGCTTGTGTCATCAATCATAAATAATCACTACAGAAAGCAGAAGAGTGACTAGATAAATCTATCTTTGTTTAATTTTTTAAATTTTTTTAATTTTTTAAATTAAAAAAAATCTTTAATTTTTTTACAAATCAAAAAAGGAACATGACCCTAATCATTTTTTTATATTTATTTATTTATTTATTTATTTATTTATTTATTTATTTGGTTCAGCCGGGTCCTAGTTGCATCAGGCAGGCTCCTTAGTTGCAGCACGTGGGCTCCTTAGTTGTGGCTCGCCTGCTCCTTAGCTGTGGCATGCGAACTCTTAGTTGTGGCATGCATGTGGGATACAGTTCCCTGACCAGGGATCGAACCCGGGCCCCCTGCATTGGGAGCACAGAGTCTTATCCACTGTGTCACCAGGGAAGTCCTGACCCTAGTCATTTTAAGAATAAAAACTTTCTTCCTTATCATTGAAGTCAGGAAAGACTGGAGGCAGTCTCCAAAAGAATTATCTGAGACTCCAGATTACATCTGTCTGAGCTGGAGGAGAGGGCCCATGTGGGAGATGTATGACCACTTCTGTGTAGTCTTTTTGTGGGGTCTAATCTCCATAGTCCCTATGGATTATTGTTTCTTATTCATCATTGTGCAATACCAGGAAAATAAAAGAGAATTTGAAGTTTAGACTAAACCTGTTAGAAGTAAGGTCAGTGCTAAGACTCAGAATGGGTATCAGAATTTAGCCTTCTTGTTCCCTAACTTTTGTCTATAAATTGATATCCATTTTTCTAGAGATGCTAGATTTTGCAAAGAATCTGGCCCTCTAGTTAAGCTTTACAATGCGTGTGTTGGGGGGGAGTGTTGGCAGGAACAGAGGAAACTTCTTTTTCATGATCCTCAGAAGTAGACTGAGAAGGAATTAGACCCTTGAATACAAGGAAGTTTTGAAACCTATTTTTATAAATACTGCACCATACTTACTAAATGGAGGAAAGGAGAAGGCAGAAAGAAGTGCAAAGCTATATGGCATTCAATGTAGAATGTGCCATTTCATTTTCCATATCTAATAGTACTCAGGGCAATACAAACAAGTTGTCATATAGCCAACTTCAAGTACCCAGCTGAAGTTAAATGTTCCCTAAAAACTGAATAGTGTAAAGCCTTCCTGAGAAATAAACTTCTCACCTATTTCGTATGAACAAATTTCCATAGAAACTCATACTTGATTTTTTTCTATAGCCAATTCCTAGACCATTTCTCTTCTATTTCCTTAAAAATCAAAGAAGTTTTCTATGCTAGAAGAAGGAGCTATTATGAACTATCCACATGTGTCGATAGTCACTTTGTGGTCTCAGGAGACAGGATAGGCAGAGAGTGGACTTGGCTGGCATACTCTGCAGGAGAGAAGCTGACAGAAAACTGACATTTGCTTAGGATTCTGTTATAAGAAATCCATTGTTGGGAATTCTCTGGCAGTCCAATGGTTAGGACTCCTTGCTTCCACTGTAGGGGACCCAGGTTCAATCTCTGGTCAAGGAACTAAGATCCCGCAAGCCACATGGCGCGGCCAAAAAAAAAAAAAAAATTAAGATAAAGGCTTTTTGTTTTTTGTTTTGTTTTTGCCACAGGGCATGCAGGATCTTAGTTTCCTGACCAGGGATCGAACCAGTGCCCCCTGCAGTGGAAGCACGGAATCTTAACCACTGGACGGCCAAGGAAGTCCCCTGATAAAGATTTAAAAAAAAAAAAAAAGAAGAAAGAAGAAAGAAATCCATTGTCCATCGGCAATGAAAGGAAATAGATTCTATTCCTGCTCTATTTCCTAGTATATTTCAATGTGAAATGTATCCTACAAGATGACATTTCAAAATAGGTGCCTACTTTGAAAGGCATTCTTGAGATTCGGGCATATGAATTACTGTGTCACTGATATGTCTGAAGAGATTTGATTACGGATCTTCACTGAGCAGGTGTCTCTGATTGGTAATGAGGTGCCTGAACAATTAGGAACCTCGGGTCTTCAAAAAAACCTGTTGATGGGAAGACTATAAAGGTTTATCAGGGAAATCAAGGGTACAAATCTTAAGTAGTTTCTGGTGCTGTGTTCTTGCCTTTTTAATTGGCCTTTGCGTTTCATCTTATGCCCCAAAATGAAAATTATGACTGTTCTGTTTCCCCTTCTAGCTTTTAGCCTTGAAGCTCCATGAGGAAAGAGTCTATGTCTGGTTCATCTCTGTATGTCCCTCAGTCTCTTACACCAAAAGGCACTCCACCAATATTCACTGAATCAAAGACCAGGATTCATGTTGATAACATGAAATGAAATTATCCTTTATGGTTTTCTTATGATATAATCATTTTCTAGACCCTTATTAGAAGAGAACAAAATTTGTGACTTCTACTCCTTATGAGGATGTGCTATCAATTTTCTTGGCAGGCAAAAGTATTTTCATTCTTATTTCACTTCATTTGCTTGGTTCAACATAATAATTTATGATCACGCAGATACCAGTGATCTCTCCATCCTACTATGTTTCTTTATCTGAAAACTGCTGTCCTCTTACCATTTGTTCCATCATTGAAACTTTGTGTGTGCTTTCACTTGTTGATTATTTTTGTGTGTTTTTTAATTTTTTTGCTGTTCGCTATAAAACCTTTGCGGACAAAGATCTTATTGTGTCTCTCTTTGTACCTCCAATCTAGTCCCTTTATGGCAATGGTATTAATAACACCAGCTTGTCCAGCTGGTATTATGAAGTAATAAAGTGTCTGGCGTGAAAGTTATTTAAATTCAGAGTTGAATTTTGATTATCGGTAACTGATGCTTTGCCTTTTCCTTTGCTGGAAATAAGAACCTATTTTTTTAAATTAATTTATTTATTTATACGTTGGCTGCGTTGGGTCTGTTGCTGCGCACGGGCTTTCTTTTTAGTTGCAGGGAGTGCGGGCTTCTCATTGCGGTGGCTTCTCTCGTTGCTGAGCACTGGCTCTAGGCACGCGGGCTTCACAACTAGGCACGCCATAACTTCAGTAGTTGTGGCACTCGGGCTCAGTAGTTGTGGCTCGTGGGCTCTAGAGTGCAGGCTCAGTAGTTGTGGCGCACGGGCTTAGTTGCTCTGCAGCATGTGGGATCTTCCCGGACCAGGACTCGAACCCATGTCCCCTGCATTGGCAGGCAGATTCTTTAACCACTGCACCACCAGGGAAGTCCCAATAAGAACCTATTTTTTAGCTTGCTGTCATAGTGTCATAGGATAGGAGTTGAAGAGGGGAAAATAGATGGCTGAATATTTGTGCTTTTGATTAGACATCCAAGACTCCCTGAATCTGTATAAATTTCCTATCTAAAGTATGCTTCTTTTCAACCTCTTAGTGATACTACCATATTACCGTTTCTTTCCATCACAGCACTAATTGCCTCATGAAAGTGTTCTGTTTACTTTATTGTTTCTCCATCCTGTACCTTGTTTGTCTTATTCACTGTTGAATTACTAGCACTTAGCTCAGAGTTTGGTGCATGTAAGAGCTTGATAATTAATAATAAGAGGCACACTTAGGCTCATGAACATGAATATCTACTTGGAATTTCTAGAACTCTCTTTCCTCCACAAACTGGAGTTGAGGGACACTTAAGAATCCACCAACACCTCCCTCTCCACCTTCCTCAACTTCCCACTCCCCACCCCAGCTATAGGAGTTTTTGCTCCTTGGGTTATGTCTCAGATGGACTTTTGCAGTAAAATAGTGAAGTGATAGTAAAGACACAAGACTGAATGTGCAGGTTGTCTAGACTTAATTTAATAGCGAATATCCAATTTATACCTTGTTTTCAGTGTTCTCAGCTCTAATGACCTGCTGGGATTGATACTGTATCTAAATTCAGAGAACACTGCTTGCCTAGGGCAGCAATAGACCTTTTCTTCTAATTTAAATTAGCTGAAGGCTGGTTGTCCTGTATGTGAAAATGTATTCTTAATATCCTGATTGAACACAGGCCATCCAATTAGGTGAATTATCTTGAAATACTTGCTTTTTATCTACTGACATTTATGATTAGAAAAGCAGTTAAATTTCATTAATGGCATGAATTTGTCCACTATTAACAAATTGTTTCCTGCAACCCGAAGAAGCTACTTTTCTTCTCCTTATCTCATGTTTAAATTTGAACATACATTGAACATATCTAGTAAAGGAACGATTCTGCAGAATGAGTTAGGTTTCTGATAATGTTATAACTGATTCACTTTGCTGTACAGCAGAAACTAACACAACATTGTAAAGCAACTATACTCCAATAAAAATTAGTTTAAAAAAAAGAGTTAGGTTTCTGAAACCCTACGTGCAAATCCCTTTTGCCACAGTCTCCAGAGGTCATCCCTATTAGTACAGTTACTTCTCTTTCCATCTGTAGATTATAAAAAATAATTCTGAGTAAAGAGGCTAGGAGAGCATGTATTCACTGGCTGAAATCCCACATAGACAATTTATCAAGAATCAAGATTTGGGGACTTCCCTGGTGGTCTAGTGGTTAGCACTCCATGCTTGCACTGCAGGGGGCACAGGTTCGATCCCTGGTCGGGCAACTAAGATCCTGCATGCTGTGCGACTTGGCCAAAAAAAAAAAGGACAAGATAAAACATCGTGAAGATTTTTTTTTTAATCAAGATTTTGTATTTTTAATTATTATATATAATTCTTTTTCTTAAAAGAATCTTCTGCTGACCCAACTTTTCCCGGAAAAATGGGCCATTTCCACCACATGGGGATGAGCATGGGGATGAGCAGTGGGGACGACAACAGTACCATGGCACCTTCTCACCATCACCCGACCTCTTCAGCCTCCCACTCCCATGGTCACATGATGATGATGATGGTAAGTGCCACAGGAGAGGCAGCCCAGGCCCTTTCCCACCCACGTGGGGAATAGAAATAATCGAACTTTAGGACTGGAAGATGATTATCTTTAAAGATCAATTTACCAATGAGAAAAAACTAAGGTCGACCTAGAGAAGTCAAGTGATTTGACCAAGATTATATGGCAGGTTAGTTTCAGAGCACACCAGAACCAAGATTTCTATGGTTCTTTCTTCAGTATTCCTTTCTGTCAAAATTGACCTTTTTCTGGATTAAGTTCTGGTCTTTTACACTTTGTGTAGAAAAGAGAAAAAGACAAAAGTTGACGGTGGGGACAAAGGAGAATACATGTGGAGAAGTGCCTGTGGTTAATACTATACTATAATGAGGGAGAAAGCCTCCCACTTCAGTGAATGCCTCTTATTACCCAGAACTGCTACTTTTAAATGTTCTGAGCTTCTTGACCTGAAATTCTCATGTAGAAGCTTCAGTTGTTTCTAATTGACACGTTTTGGTTTCCTGGCAGCCTATGACCTTCTACTTTGGCTTTAAAAATGTGGAACTATTGTTCTCTGGTTTGGTGATCAATACAGCTGGAGGTGAGTAAGCCATCAGGTTTTGTTTGAAGGTGACACTCACATGAGAGACAGTGACAAAGAATCTGGAAACCCAACACCTCTTCCTGCCATAATTACTGAGTCATTTTGGTTATGATCGTAACCATCTTGCTTCCTATTTCCTACCTGGAAGGTAAGGATACACGGTGCTTATTTTGGTCCTACAGTAAACCTCCCTTAAATAGCATGTGTATGTTTTAGAATTTCTGAAACATAATTTAGATACCAGGTAGGAATCTTTTGCAGACCATTTCCTTTCATCTTTTTCCAGAGTGTTTCCTTGTTTGATAAATTATTGGTCTTGGATATAAGACTATAGTCGAAGTTCAAATGACATAAAAAGCATTATATATATATACATACCACAAAATAACCCTAGCTTAAAAACTATTAATCAAGTACAATCCTTCCAGTTTACAGATAAATTAAGCTTCAAATAGTGAAATGATTAGCCCTAAATCCCATAAAGTTAGTATGTCAGAGCTAGGACAGGGACCTAGGGCTTCTATTCCTGCCTAATCCAGTGCTCTTTCTAGCTTACCAAACTGGTATACATCATTCCTGACTCTTGGCCCATCTTAGGGGCAGTCCTAGTTTTGGGGTAGCTAATTGCCCATTTTTTGATGTGTCTATAATGTTGAGTTGGTGTGCCTTAAATTCAAATTGCACAAGTTCAGTAGTCAGGTGGACCACTTTAGGTACAAGATAAATCTTTGGACCCACAAAATCAATTTGTTTTGGGAAGAAGGGAAGCATTTAATTCAGGTAGTATGTTAAATCAGTTTTGACTACATTCATATTGGTACCAGTGCTTCACAGTGTGAAAGACTTAGATTGAAACGCCCATTTAAGAAATTGTCAGCACTTTAAAATAAGTTGTTTTATTCCTCTTTTGCATATTCTACATTGTGTGTTTCAGTGTGACAAGCTTATTTAATGACATCAAGCAGCCAGACCAAAAGGTTATTGTTGTTCATTTATTTGGTATCTTAATCAGAAAATGAGTATGATCTGCAGTGGAGTTAGTAGTCCTCACTGACACCATCTTAGTTCTTCTCTTCCATCTGTATGACTGAAGAGGTAACAATATAACATACTTTGAAATTAAGAGTAGAGAGTAGCAGTTTTTCAAAATTCCCTGGCAGTCCAGTGGTTAGGACTCGGTGCTTTCACTGCTGTGGGCCCAGTTTCAATCCCGAGTCGGGGAACTAAGACCCCACAAGCCACGTGGCATAACCACCCCCCCCCAAAAAAAAAGTGTAGCAGTTTTTCTGTGTTGTCTTTCTAGCTTGGAGAGCACACCAGCTAATGATTTTGCATGTTTGACATTACCACCATCTTTTCCCTCCCTACTTAGAAATGGCTGGAGCTTTTGTGGCAGTGTTTTTACTAGCCATGTTCTACGAAGGACTCAAGATAGCCCGAGAGGGCCTCCTGCGCAAGTCACAGGTCAGCATTCGGTACAATTCCATGCCTGTCCCAGGACCGAACGGAACCATCCTTATGGAGACCCACAAAACTGTTGGGTAAGAAGATTGAACAGATCCAGATGGAAGTTCTGGAGAGCTGAATTAGCTAAATAGGAAAGCAGCTATTTTATTATCAACAGCCCTCTTCTTGAGTTAATGATTCTATATGACCTTGATCAAAACTGGTTTTGGAGGCTTGGGGTTGTGGGTCATTAGCAGGCCAAAAGAGGAATGATAGGAACCCTTCTGCTAATATGAACATTTATTCCAAATTTTAAGTATTGGTCACTTTAGAAGGAAAAGAATCCATATTTTAACATATTAGCCAAAATAATTATAAACAAGTTAAGAAATTTCAGGTCAGTGTATAGAAGAATGGCAGAATCCAATTTATTCCTTTCTATAAAAAGTTGTACCTGCTCAGCTCTAGTCTCATTTTGTTACAATGTAAGACTGTACTAATGTCTGTATTCCACCTAAGCAAGTATATGGATGACTATTGGTTTTTCCCACAGATTGGCAAATGCTTAAGATTTAGTTATAATAGAAATGTAGGTCTTAAAGCTAAACTGGAATTCAAGGAATCCTATAGACCAATGTCCTACTCTCAAGTAAGCACAATATTATTTACTCCAATTGTACCAGTGATTGGGCTTATTGAGGGCCAAACATTGTGACTTAACTAAGGTGAGAGAACTAGGAAGTGACAAAGGGGATAAACAGCCAGGTCTCCTGATCCCTAATTAAAAACTTTCTACTGTACCACCCAACCCTCAATTCTATTTCCAATTTTTTTTTTTTTTTGGCTGCGTTGGGTCTTCGTTGCTCCACGCTGGCTTTCTCTAGTTGCGGCGAGCAGGGGCTACTCTTTGTTGCGGTGCGCGGCCTTCTCATTGCAGTGGCTTCTCTTGTTGTGGAGCACGGGCTCTAGGCACACGGGTTTCAGTAGCTACAGCACGCGGGCCCAGTAGTTGCGGCGCGCCTGCTCTAGGGTGCTCGGGCTCCAGTAGTTGTGGCGTGCAGGCTCAGTAGTTGCGGAGCACGGGCTTAGTTGCTCCACAGCATGTGGGATCTTCCTGGACCAGGGCTCGAACCCGTGTCCCCTACACTGGCAGGCGGATTCTTAACCACTGTGCCACCAGGGAAGTCCTCTATTTCCAATTTTTTAGAGTATGAACTCTGCAAAGGTCGAAGGCCTGAGAAAGTTCAGACAAATAAGTATGGGAAGGTGTGGGTCATCCCTTTCAGTATCCAAGGTGGAGGTAAGTCAGCTTACTCCTCCTTCCTCTCCCCTCCTCCTGAAGAGCATTCCTCCTGCTGCCATATAATCATATCTGGCCGATGCTTACTAACCTCACAACCCTATCATGTTTCATTTCCAAGGACAATAAACAACCTGCAGAGACACAAGTACCCGTGAGTTGCCAGGGTGGCTGTGAGAGTCGAGCTCAAGCTGAGCTCATGACTACAACTGTTGCCCCTTTCTCCTGATCTGCATGCAGAGCTGCCTGAACACGCCTGGGGCCCTGACTGTTGTGTCCCTGTTTACTCTCCAGGCAACAGATGCTGAGCTTTCCTCACCTTCTGCAAACAGTGCTGCACATCATCCAGGTGGTCATCAGCTACTTCCTCATGCTCATCTTCATGACCTACAACGGGTACCTCTGCATCGCTGTAGCGGCAGGGGCTGGCATGGGGTACTTTCTCTTCAGCTGGAAGAAGGCAGTGGTAGTGGACATCACAGAACATTGCCATTAACGTCTAACTCTATGGTGTGGCCTTATCGATTGCAGTGGAAAGCAGTTCAAGACTGGAAGACAGGATTCCAATCTTCTCTTCTTAACTCCTTATCTCCTTACACGCACGCACGCACGCGCACACACACACACACACACATACACACGCACACGCTTGCTCAACAGAGGTTTAGCTTACAGTCTCTGAGCTAAAGTGGTAACCTCCCTGCCTTTTTTCCCTAATGAGCTGAGTTTCCCATTTCTCTTGAGGTGAAGCCACCCATGAGATGTCCTCTCCTCCCCCATTATCTTAGATCCAAGTTATATGTTCTTATCTAATCCAGGTAGCTTTCTATTTGATGGCTTGATCACCTGCTTCCTTTTTTAGTCTTCTGTTCTTATTTTGTAACAGTTTGCGAATTCGGTGGGTTTTTCCTGGGTCAGTGATGGAAATGGATTGACTTTAGCCAGGATTGATGGCAGGTGAGGAAAAGTCTTGTCCAGCTAAGCCCAGAACCCAAACTTAACACTTAAAAATACGTTCTAGTCTTTGGACTCAATGAGTGGGAGACAGATTGAGCCTTTCCCTAGGTGTGAAGTGTTGCACTGAAATCTCTGTAGGGGGCAGAGAGGTGGTTTGAGACTGTATAAATACAGGCCCAGACCTTGCAGGAGTGTGCGTTCTTGGGGGGCCGACTCATCAACTTGTGTTCCCACTTAACATTTTGATTAGAATGAACTTGTCAATCAAAAAAAAGATGACAATCAATTTGAGAAAATAGATATTTTAAAATGAAACCATTGACATTTTACTTTGACTTGGTACCTTCGTATGTCACAGCTGAAGTAAGCATTTAAATAATTTTCTCCCATTATTGTTTTCATGTGTCTGCCTCTAAACCAGTGGTTTTCAAACTTCAGCATGCATCAGAATCACCTGGAGAGCTTGTTAAAACGCTGATTGCTGGGCCTCGACCCAGAGCCCCCAAATTGGTATTTTTAACAAGCTCCCAGGTGATGTGCCTACTGATGATCAGGGGACCACACTTTGAGCATCTCTGCTTTAAACTGAGGGAGTATCACCTGGTGGGTGAGCTACCTGGTACTGGGCACAGGAATTTGACTTGCTATTAGTTGGTGGTGTTTCTGGGCTTAACTCATGTACTAAATGCTGCTGGTCAATACTTAATCATTCCACAAACATTTATTCAGCCCCAACGGTGTTTTTATGCCCAGGCACACAAGCACAAAGGGCTGTAGCCAAAGTAACTTTTATTAGCATGTATGAAATCACTAGTCCTTACTCTTAAAGATCTGTAATTTCTTGGAAATGGCTTGAAGGTTGAGAATCTTTGATCTGCAATGTAAATCAGCCAGTCATGGGCTGGAGGGGCAAAAGCCCAGCCCTCTCTTTGGAGAGGCCTAGGGTGTGGTCGGCTGATGGGCATCCATGCCCACACCAGGCAGATCCTCACTCTCTGCGTGACCATCTTTGTTACTCTCGGGGGGACTTAATTAGATCACAAGTGGCCAAAAATACTTTCCTCAGTAAGAATCACATTGGATTTTTATTCTGTTGTTAGTCTACGCCGCAGTCTTGTTCCCAGTCCAACCTACCTCTGTAAAGTGACTCTTCCTGTGCTGGTCTATTAAATCCTGCCCTCCTTGGTGCTAGACTCCAGTTGTGCCTCAGGGCAGGAGAGACAAAACACAGCTATCCTGTTGGCCTCTTGTGGTTTTGAAGTTTGTACTTTCTCTGTTGGTGCCAGTTAAATATTGGAGGGCGAGAAATGTGTACTTCCGTGGCTTTGAACCAAGAGAGGGTTATGAGCTTACTGGATAGAGGTTAAAATCTAAGAACCAACATTTAGAGTTTTATGTTTTTCTCTCATTCCAACCCCTTGTAGTGCTGATACTTAGCATAAGTAAAGGGAATGACAGGTACTGATAAAAATCCAACATTAAGGTACAAATAGCCTGTTATTGCCTCAGAAGCCAAGGAATAATAAAACCCTGAGAAATCAATGTTTAGTAGTGATCCGGGTACTCTCTAGAAATCTTGACATGATCTGTTATAAAATACCCTTTCAGGAACAGGACCTTATGAGTAAGGTAAGAAAAATCAAGGCCAGTTTAGACAAAATGCTGTGAATTTCAAACTCGCGGGAGAGAAACATCAGTTTGGGATAAGTCTTCGGGTATTCAAGATAGAGTCTCATGAAAAACCTGAATTGTAGTGATCTTGAGCTAGGTTGCCAAAGGAAGAAACTAGCGAGGAAAAAAAAAAGTAAAGCTTAAATTCTATCTTTCTTGAGCTCTTGGATCGTGATAATATAATGATCTTGTTGACTTTCATTTCTGTAACCCTGTTCATTTAGAATTTAGTGCCTGACTCCTTTGTTCCTTTTGAATCCAAATTTCTCTTCCTCCTGTTCACAGCTATTAGAAGCTGTATCCCCATATCTTTGGGCCCTTATTCTGCTCTCTTTTTCCCTTTCTGTCTTTCAGTTTTTTATCCCATGTGTCTGGTCTATTAAATCTCCCTCACCCTCCTGATGCAGTGGATAATGCTGTGCAGTAGATGTGGATATAGATACCAACCAGAAGTTGTAAAACTTGATAGAGACCCTAAACACACTTTGAGGAGCAGTTGTCCCACTGGAATTTCTATAAGGCTGAGTAAGGGGCTACCTGGTACCATCCACAAAGTTACAGCATGTTAGGTGCCGTCTCCAATCTATGCTGGAAGAACACTCAGCCCCACACTGCCCACAACAGAGTCCTCTCTGTCCACCAGGGAATTAGAGATGAAGGTTTCTTCACTACTTCTATGGTAGGGTTGTCTGGAATTCCCTTTTAGGCTGTGGGGTACTGGTTTTGGGTTCTAGCCACAGGGGTTCCTTGTCGAAGCTGGAAAGGGAGTTAGCAGGGAGTACACTTTCATGTCCTTTAATGTTGATCCTGTCCTCTCCAGCTGCTTCCTTCAGAAGATACACCTAAAGATACGGAGTCCTCATTTGATATATGCCTTAATCATTGGGTCTACAATTAATGTTGACTGTTTTAGATTGTAAGCTCCTGGAGGGCAGTATTGCTGTAGTAGGAATGTTTTAACAGTGTCATGTGCAAAAGAACAAATAAATATTTTGATTTTGTGATTCTATGCATGTCTTCTCCCCAGAGTGATATCAGAAGTGGTCTCATTGTTCACATGGAGTCTGGTCGTTATCGGTTTTTCAGATACCCATCTGTTAGGTGGCGCGATCCCTTTATGTTTTCATCTCGCTCTCCTCCTACTCTCCTACTCTACATGACAAGCTTTGAACATGCCAGAAGATCTACATGACCTTTTGCACAGGAGACAGGGTCTTCGTGAAGCTGCAGTATCTCAGTATACCAAGGATTCCTGAATTTAAAAGCAAACTTGTCATATAATCACTTCCCTGTGTTTATGCTGTCAGGTGAGAGGCTAGGAGTTGGCCCTGCCTGTCCGCTTTGTGCCAGAATGGTGGTGTTTTGTGCCTTTCCTGTTGGCCTCCAGATAGGCATCTTGCCATTCAGCACCACTCCTAGACTGTAGTGTGATGAACATGGGCTTTGGAGTCAGGTACACCTGGCTTTGACTCCTAGCTCCACCACTTCCTAGAAGTGTGACCTTAGGCAAGTTATTTTAATAATCCCTAAGCCTTAGTTTTCTCATTTATAAAAAGGTAATAATAGTACCTATTTGAATTAATCTCCTGATTATTGTCACTCCAGCTTTCAGGAAAATGAAACGTACATGCTTCTGGCTGCAGTTGGTATCTCTGTCACAAGCACTTGACCATCTTCTTGGGTTTGGGCAACCCAGAAATGAACACTAGGACCTAAGAAATAAAGAATCGATACGTGTGATTTCAGTGGTGTCAAAAAAGATTTACAGGGAATTCCCTGGTGGTCCAGTAGTTAGTACTCTGCACTTCCACTGCAGGGGGCACGGGTTCGATTCCTGGTTGGAGAACTGAGATCCCACGTGCCGCGTGGCACGGCCAAAAAAATAAGATTTATAGCTGCTCAGATTTATTACTAATCTGGTAATTGCCTCAGTCTTTATAAATAAAATACCATGGATATTTCCTGAGAACTGAAACAGCAACCTCTCACTCTACCCCGAGGGAGTGAGACCTACTAGTGGGAGACCAGGAAAGCAGTGTAGCAAGGAGGTTTAGAAGCGCAGGTTCAAAAATCATTCTGCACAGGTTCAAATCTCAGCTCTATCCCTTAACAGCTGAGAATTAGTTTTGCCTTTATAAAATTAGGTTAAAGTACTCACCTTGTAAGAGTTAAAGATTAAATGAGATAAGCTAAAAGAAAATAATAAATGAGATAATCTGCATAAAGCACTTGGTACAGTGTCTTCCACCCAGATTCCTCTTGAGTATTGGTATCAGGAGGCACGTTTTCATGCTTCTGTGCCTGTTCATGCTGGGAAGTCACAGTGACATTTTGAAGCAGTCTTGTTTGATCCTTTTCTTTTTTTCTTTTGCCCTTCCAGACTGAATTTCATAGGATTCAAAATAATCAAACTCAGTTTCCTTATCTGGAACCCATTCTTGCTGTGTTTTCAAGATTAAGATAAATGAATGGAAGATCCCAGATAAAACTGGAAGAACAGAGGTTTTGTAAGAATGGTTGGAGGAAGAAGGGAAACTATACATCCTCCTCTATTCCTGCCTCTCTCCCACATTACTTCCCAGACTTAAACTGCCCCAGAAAGGCTGGGTAAAATCCTGCTAACAGGTCTCTTTGGAACTGATGATTCCGGAGGTTCTTGCTACCACAGTTAGCAGTTCCCAGCAGTTGAATTGAACAGCGAAAACAATAAGACATGATTCTAAATTAGCCTCTGAGCTGCCTCGCAGATTGGCTCATCACAAAAACTTAGGCGATTTGGGAAAGGAAGGAAAACTGGAATGACGGTAATACTAATACTCCACTGCCTGTCCTCCCAAAATTACACCCAAACTGGTTACAAAGCCATTCTGTAAAGATACTGGAAATCTACAACTTGATCGAGTTTATACAAAATCATAAGAATCCAATCTCCACAAGGGCAGGGATCTTTGATTTGTTCTCTGATGTTACTAAGTGCCTAGAATGGTACCTGGCACTCTCAATAAATACTTGCTGAATAAACGAGTTAAACAAAAATCAGTGACAGGGATCAACTGGAAGTGTTCTGTTTAGGGTCTTTTAATAAAGATGGGAAAAATGATGTAGCAATTTAATGGTGCTATTATACTTCATTAAGGATGTCGCACACTTTTCCAAAAATATATTTATTTTTAAAAACAAAAATCAGACAAGTTTTATCGAGTCAGATTTTCCAGAGACAAACCAGAGTTTGAATTTCAGCTTTCAGAGTGAAAGTTAAGCATCAGCAATCTCATGTGGAAGTATCTCTCTCTGCAGGGCGTAAAATATTCGGCTTGACTGCAAGCACTCAATTCTCTAAATCTTGTTTATATTTCTGCCATCATTTTACTCCATTCCAGGGCTCTGGCACACAAGATAATCCACCTCTAAAATTCAAAACTTCCAAATTGAGATGAACGATTGTTGGGCTTGGGTTGGGGTTTATAACCAATTCGATCATTAATCATTTGTTCCCTGCCCTTGGGGTCACTGCCGAGCCCAATGGCACTTTCTCCATCACTGCCTCCTACAACATCCACATCTTCCTTTTGTTTCTTACGGGTCTGCAAGTATAAAAGTTTTAGTATTAAGGCAATATTCTATTCATTAACAAACATTTATTTAGCATCTACCATGTATTAGGCACAGGGTTAAGGATAGGGTTCGGGTCTACAGAACAATAAACTGAAATCCTAGGTTTAGATGGTTAGGGGCACAAGGGGGATACACGGATATAGCAATAAAAGATGTAACCCCTACCCTCCAGGATGTCACAGTCTAAGAGGGAAACAGGTAAATAGACCATTACAACACAGGGTGATCAGGGCTATGACAGAGGGAAGTCCACACAAGAGATGGAAAAATAAAGCGACCAGTAAAACAATAACCACCAGAAATTAACAGCTTAGCTGACACCATGAGATTAAATGTAACGCAGGAAAAGAAGGTTTTGTGCTATCTTATCATGAGGCCTGATTTGGGGAATTCATTTTGTTTTCAGATGAAAGGTTTGGCTCTTAAGCCACAAGTAACTACAGAATTCACAAAGTCTGTGTCTCAGTTTGATCATTTTCAAAGAGAAAAACTAACACCCCACAACTACCACTACCTGAGAGTTCCTTACCAGAAGAATGGCTCCACTACACTAATCTCTGAAATCACTGCTATTCTTCACCACTTACTGCTGAACTGTGAGCATTTAAATGCCAGTGTCAAAGTATTATAGTGAATAAGTGAGGTATTACTTTTTATATATATACAAACATAATGACCTTCCTGAGTTACTCTCTAGGCTACATTACCCAATAAATAATATTAGAAAGTTCTCCCCAAACACCTTTGTGAAAACAGGTTCTAAAAGGCACAGGATGATATCGTTTCATCTTATAAGCCATGAGAAAGTCAGAATATCCAAGTAGAATGAAATCATTTAAAAGGCTTCCCACTATGAACAACTGCTGACTGTTTCAAAATCCAGACTCAGGGCTTCCCTGGTGGCTCAGCAGTCAAGAATCCGCCTGCCAATGCAGAGGACACAGGTTCAAGCCCTGGTCCGGGAATATCCCACATGCCATGGAGCAACTAAGCCCATGTGCCACAACTACTGAGCCTGTGCTCTAGAGCCCGTGAGCCACAACTACTGAGCCCATGTGCCACAACTAATGAAGCCCATGCACCCAAAGCCCACGCTCTGCAACAAGAGAAGCCACGACAATGAGAAGCCCGTGCACGCAAGAAAGAGCCCCCGCTTGCCACAGCTAGAGAAAGCCCCTGTGCAGCAACGGAGACTGAACGCAGCCAAAAAAAAAAAAAACCAGAGTCATCAAAATGTAATCAAACTAATTTCAGTAACAAATGAAATACCAGTTTTCTACTGTTTTTATTTTAGTGCAGGCAAAAACTATCCCTCTCTCCTAAGTTGCTCTAAAATGGGTGAAACCCATTGGATAACTGCCTTTAGTAGAAAGACTAAAAAAAAAAAAATACCTAGGAATAAATTTATACCTAGAAATAAATTTAACTAAGAAGGTGAAAAGACCTGTACACTTAAAACTATGAGATATTGTTGAAAAAAATTGAAGAAGATACAAAGGAATGAAAAGGTATTCCATGCTCATGGATAGGAAGAATTAACAGTTAAAATGTCTATAACTACCTAAAGCAATCTACAGATTCAATCCAATCCCCATCAAAATCCCAACAACATTTTTCACAGAAATAGAACAAAAATTCCTAAAATTTGTATGGGACCACAGAAAACCCCGAGTAGCCAAAGCAATCTTGGAAAAAAAACCCCCAAAGCTGGAGGTATCACACTCCCTGATATCAAATTCTACTACAAAGCCACATTCATCAAAACAGCACGGTATTAGCAGAAAAAGAGACACACAGATCAATGGAACAGAACTGAGAGCCCAGAAATAAACCCTCACACATATGGATAATAGATTTATGACAAAGTAGCAAAGAACATACAATGGAGAAAGGACAGTCTCTTCAATAAATGCTGTTGAGAAAACTGAACAGCCACATGCAAAACAATGAAGCTAGACCACTATCTTACACCATACACAAAAATTAACTCAAAATGGATTAAAGACTTGAACGTAAGACCTGAAACCATAAAAATCCTAGAAGAAAACATAGGCAGTATGCTATTTGACATTGGTCTCAGCAGTATCTTTCTGAGTATGTCTCCTCAGGCAAGGAAAACAAAAGCAAAAGTAAACAAATGGGACTATATCAAACTAAAAAGCTTCTGCTCAGCAAAGGAAACCATCAACAAAATGAAAAGACAGCCTACCAAATGGGAAAAGATATTTGCAAACAATTTATCTGATAAGGGGTTAATACCCAAAATAAATAAAGAACTCATAAAACTCAACAGCAAAAAAACAGACAACCCAAGAATCTGAATAACCATTTTTCCAAAGAAGACATACAGATGGCCAACAGGCATATGAAAAGATGTTCAACGTCACTAATTATCAGGGAAATGCAAATCAGAACCACAATGAAATATCACCTCATGCCCATTAGAATTGCTATTATCAAAAAGACAAGAAATAATAAGTGTTGGAGAGGATGTGGAGAAAAGGAAATCACACAGTTGGTGAGAATATAAACTGGTGCAGCCACTATGGAAAACTGTATGGAGGTTTCTCAAAAAATAAAGAGTGGAACTACCATATGATCCAGCAGTTCCACTCCTGGGTATATATCCAAAGAAAACACTAATTCAAAAGGGTAAGTGCACCACCATGTTTATCGCACCATTATTTACAATAGTCAACATATGGAAACGTAAGTGTCCCTTGACAGAGGAATGGATAAAGAAAATGTGGTGTATAGGGCTTCCCTGGTGGCGCAGTGGTTGAGAGTCCACCTGCTGATGCCGGGGACACGGGTTCATGCCCCGGTCTGGGAGGATCCCACATGCCGCGGAGCGGCTGAGCCCGTGAGCCATGGCCGCTGAGGCTGTGCGTCCAGAGCCTGTGCTCCGCAATGGGAGAGGCCACAACAGTGAGAGGCCTGCGTACCGCAAAAAAAAAA